CGATAATTTGCCCAAACATGGGGCGTCTCCTGAGCGAAGGACTAAGTGCAGCTCATTCCTTCCCTCATGCCACATGCGATGTTCCTGACAGCGAATGAAATGTCACATCTGTTGATGAGTGCCACCTCACTGATCCATGAAGCTCAGCAGACAACATTTCCCCAGAGAGCGACGGGGATCTGGAGATAATGAAACGTGAACACGATGTTCTTGGACTCAGCGTGCATCCTCTGCTGCTCCGCTCCTCTCCCCGGAGCAAGAAGGGGAAGGTCATCCATCAAAAGTCACATATTAGTCATCGAAATGTGAGTGGAGCGAGGTCGAAACGGTGACCCAATAGCATGCTAAGATGCAGCAAGTGTAGAGGTCGGCCCTCAACAAATGACTCCATATCGAGGGTAGGAGGGGGGGGGGGGGGGATACTGGATGGTGCACCAGTGCTCTCCTCCTCCCAGACTGGGAGAAGAGGAAGGCTGAAAAATGAGTACGCAGCAGCTGGGTGAGCCCCGTGAGAAATCTGGGCAGTCTGCAGGCAGAGCAGACAGTGGGATGATTGGACCGAGGTTTGGACTGAACTCCCTCTCCGCAGAGTAACCTCCACCGTCTGCAGCCACAACATACGGGTTGTTCAAGGTGACGTACGGTTGAGTGAAGTAAGTGTTTCCATGCTGACACATTGATGCTGTGCCTCCCTTTCCGATTGCTTCTCATTTGACATGCCACAATGACTGTGCATTTAAAGTTCAGGCTGTCAGCTCTGATTTAAGGCCAGTCTCAGACGGACTGGTTTGGTTGTTTAGATAACTACTGGTGCTTGAGTACCGTCCCACGTGTCTGATACTGAAGGCGCTGGAACTTTGGCTTTAAATAATAAAAGTTTTAGGGTGCTGGTGACCTGATGGTTGGCAGTGGTATAGTGCAGGGTATACGCAGGTATACAGAGTATACCCACTTATTTTTCAGTCTCTATACGGTACCCACTTCTAAATCTCCTCTGATTCACACCATTGATTAATCGACAAAAGTCAGTAGTATTCTGCAATTTTTTTTTCCTAGGATGGTGAAGGGGTGACCCTCACTACTGAGGTCTGTCACCTTTTATAACAGAGGACGTTAATACTCTGGGCCACTTAAAAAAAAACATTTTCGGGAAAAATTAAGAGTAAACCCACTTCTTCAGGCACCACTACATCACTGGCGGTTGGTTTGCACATCCCCCATTTCTCATGAGACTCCCCCAAAATGCATTGTTGGTAGTTCTAGAAGCAGGCGGCCAGGTTTCAACTGAAAGCTCCTCTGCTTCCCATCATTCCCATTAGACAACAAAATACATAGTTAGATGACAGAAGATGACAGAGGAGAACCTTAGTGCCCCTAAAAGTAACTTGAATAGAAAGGAAAAGAGAATTTAACACTTAAGAGGTAGGACTTCAGTGTCTGTGAGTTTCTCTGCAAAGTAGAACCAAGATTCTTCACTTAAAATATCAAATGTGTTCAACATCTAAATACAGCTGCGACAGGAAACAACAGGGACCAAATCCAAAAAAGTAGCTCCTCATTCATTCATCCGACGAGGCCATAAAAGCCGCCTGTACGTTCACATCATAATCTGTGTCATTTTACATCCAAAGTGCTGGGAGCGACGAGCCAAAATGTTAATGCACTGCTGTGCCAATGGAGCTGATGGAGCTCGCGCTTCATGCATATGCATACTCCTCCATCCTACCCAGAAGTCCCCCTGCAACCCTCTCCCAACCTGACTGTCTAAAAACAGCAGAGGGCTTAACGCTTGTGACAGCAGACGTCACGGTGGAGGAGACCCGAGCTTTTAGAGGCCTCTTTTGTTAGCAGGGAGAGAATTACGCTTTACAAGATAAATCATCCCGCCAGCAGCCGGCTTAGACTGTGTACAACCAGATAAGGTTGCCAAGGAAACCCTGCCGAGGAACCAATGAGATTTTTTTTGCTATACCTGTCTCCTTGATCTGTGCAAACAATTAATACCTCACCCAGCTAGGAGGTAGGAAGGGAGAGGGGGGAGGTGGGAGGAAGGCACAAATCCCCAGGTGCTTAACAGAACTCGACTCTTTCTCCTCAGCTATGTTAGAGGTTAAAAAAAAAAATGTCACAAATGGATATTGCACAGAGAGACACTGAGGGATGATGTATGACTTATTGTAAATTAATTCAATGAGAGAACAGCGTTTAGTCCATAAATCTAATCTGCAGCACACATCACTAATGTCCTTTTAATGAATGTTTTTGAATGCATGGCCATAAAAGTGCCATTACATCCCGACACATCCATTTGTAGGACGGCTGTGATTGTGCAGATATGGCCGCAGCTGAATAAACCCCGGCGTGGAAGAGGAGGGCCTGACGTGCAGGAACTGCCGGGGAGCCATTAGGCTCCGTGAGTGACTTCGACGAGCCGCAGATCAATGCTCCAGGGCCCTATCTATTACTGACATCCAATTATAGCAATGGACGTCCGCTTAACACCGCTACTAAGTGCTTTAGTCTTTTTATTGACTACCTGTCAGCAGCCTGCACACAGCCCAGCTATTGGCTGATAATCAGCAATCGATCTAACGGCATGTCAGATCACCAGCGTGTTGTTGAGTGTATAAAAAATGTGACGAGGGCGATACAGCAGAGAGAGATGTTACAACATGTGCACAACTCGTCCCTCACTCATCTACAAGGCATTTCCCATCATTCAGCATGTTAATTAGAGAGCTAATTTTGTACATCTTTGATTAGCGCTGGCTTGCAATGAAAGTAATTACACAACACATTAGCTACAGGGGGGGTAGGGTGTAATTGAATAAAAGCAAAGAAGATGCTGAAAGGAACAGCCATGACGCCAAGATAAACAAACAGTCTTGTAAATAACCTCAGCATCTGGTTTTGACATCCGTTCAGCTTTAAGCAGCACACCACAGAGCGTGTGCAAACATGTTTAAATCATGCTAAAAAATGTTTCATTTATTTTGCATCACTGCAGCTTCCCAACATCAACCTGAATGGATCAGACCGTTCTAAAAGATGATTCCTGCATATCACACAAAGTCATAATGTGATAAAAACTGTGAAATGACCATCAAGACAAAATGGACCATAAAGGGAAAACGTAACAACTGAGCAGAGGCTTCAAATGAATGAGAGAGGAGAGCTTTCAGAGCCATGGAGAGAAGAAAACCCAACAAAATGGCCGACGACGTCAGAGCAGATTCATTGTGACGACTTTCCCAGTTTAACTGATTTACACATATGAGTGCATGTACATTTTTTAAAGTATATTGTTGCACAGAAATGTGCTTGAGAGAGCTACTAGCACTTTTATACTGTGACTACTTTTTATGACCACGTGTTAGGGCCACATTAAAGAAAATAATATTTCCAGACTTAAGTTTTTAGAGAAAGAAGATGAAATATTAATATGGAGTCAGGGGCGCCAGTAGCCTTATAGCTGGTGCAGAGGCTGTAGTCCCACAAGATGGGGACCTGGGTTTGAATCCGACCTGTGGCTCCTCTCCCACATGTCATTACCCTCTTTATCTCTGTCTCTCTCGGTCACTGATTTCTGACTCTAGCCACTGTCCTTTCTCTAAATAAAGACAAAGAAGAAGTAATGTAAGAGAAGGAGGATGGGGAATAGAGGTTGTTAGTGGTTGTAGGCAATGTTGAAGGAATAAGTTTTTAGGGATTCCTTAAAGGTGGAGTGGGGGGGGGGGTCTCTGATGGTTTTTGGGAGTGACTTACAGAGGGTGGGAGAAGCAATGGATGGAGAGTAGTTTCTGGAGTGTTTTGGACGATGAACCTTAGATGAGACTGTTGAAGGAGTCCAATCTGGAAGTGATGCATGCGTGGATTATGTTATAGGTACCTTCTCTAAAACGTATACTGGAGAGCCTTTCCTGACTTTACTATGTACGTTCTTTCATAAATATTTTCATTCAATTCGTTTTCAACTGCTCTGTATAGATTTATATTTTATTTATTTGCTGCCTTTTTGTGGCACTAAGTAGCCACAAACAGTTGGATGTTAAAGTTAGCCGTCTAAATGAAGTCTGTAGCCACTATAATTATAAAAAGTGCAGCAGGGGATGAAAGCAAGAGGCCCAACAGTTCTTCCAGGCGAGCCAGGTCACAAGCATGTTTATACTGCTGCTGAGCGACGGGCAATGGAGGCGGCAGGCAGCAGTTTTGCCATTGATTAATTACAGTCATTAGGTGGTTAGAAAGTCACCTCACCTGGTGTTAGGGGAGGAATTTCCCGCCTGATTAAAATTAATCACAGTCAAAAAGCTGCAGGAGGCCGAGTCCCTGGGGAGCAAGCAGTGCTGGTGAGGAAGGGAAATTGAGTTTTATTCATTCTCGGGTCCACAGATGCGAACGCCACACTGTAAACAAACAAATAAACAAACCTAGCTGCTGTGTTTTTTTTTTTTACATTTCATGGACTTTTATTATTCAAAAATACAGCACAAAAATACACACAAAGAAAAAGAAAAACGGTTTCCACACTGTGAAACCTCGAAGGAGATCTTCATAGAGTATTAGTATGCTGATTTCAAAGCTACAGTTAATATTGTTAGTAGTTAATGTGAGCACACAGAGGGACGCCGTCGCCCTCACAGCTCTGTACAGTTTGTCAGCAGGTGAGAGTCTAACTAGAATCCTACAGGGGCCCGTCCTGAACACACACTCCCTTCTCTCGCTCTCTCACACACAGGAGGAGGTAATTCAGGTGTAATTCCTCTGCCTGGCTCTTAGTTTCCTTGGCGTTAGAAAACAGGTGCAGAATTCAATCTACCACAACGCTCAGAGGCCGAGATGTTTCTACGACTGTCACCTCCTCTCACATCCTACAGTACAAGTCACACTCACACAAGAGACACACACTCTGCCCCTCCTCGTCTGGTTTTTTAAAAGACATAATTTGCCAAGCACAGCACGGCAGAGCATCACATTTACATACAAACATCTTCATCTTATGTCATTCCACTGTGTAGTGATTAGATAGGGTTACTTCGACAGGTTATCTATACAAACAGTCAGAACCTTTAAAAAAAAAAAAAAACACCAATTTACTTCATTTTAAATAAAGTTTAAAAAAAACAAAGCATGAAGTCATGTTTTGAAATATAAAAACAAAAGCTTTAAGACAGTGATAGAGGTTTTTTTAAGCTATGAGAAGTGTTTGAGGTGTGTGTGTGTGTGTGTGTGTGTGTGTGTGTGAAGTCCAACAGAAAACGATTGATACTCCCGCCGTGTGCTGATAAGTATATCGTTCTAGAGGCTGAGACGGCTGCTCAGGTCGATGCTACTACACATAGCTCCAGCGCACATCTGTTGGTTGCTATGATACGACTCATCCGGGGCAACAAGGCACAATAGAAGCTAGTACGAGTCCAGCTGTGAGGGGCTGTACAGAGGTGCACTGAGGGGGAGGTATGTATAAGGCTCAAATAAGGAGTAGAATAAGGCTTCAGAGAAAACAAACTTTACAAACTCAAGAGTACTCATAGCGATTTTGCTGCAGACAAGATGAGATGTTGGGCTTCTAACTATGAAAGCAAACGATAAATGATGGGGGATGATTTGAGAGTTAAATAACCCGCACAGTGGAAGAAACATCTAAAAGCAATGAACATGGACAGACTGAACAAACAAATTTTCAAGAGTTGTTCCAGGTCCACTACGTTATCAGAAATCCCACCAATACGGTCTAAAACGAGGGATTCTGTACGAGCAATATGCAAGACCATAAATCAATCAAGTACCAGAATTAGCCCTGAAAAATATCAAGTAGCTGTAGGAGAAAATTCTGCAGCCCCCACCCTCCAAAAACAGGAAGGGTTGCAATGTCACTATCAAATCCTTCAATGAGATCCTCCTCCCATGCTCCGGCTGACCGAGTGCTCTTTGCTGCTGCTTACATTCGCTCAGGTTGTTTTTAGATGAGTTACGTTGAGTCATCTTAGTCATCCTGCGTTGATTATTTACTACGTTAAAAAAAGAAAATGAACTTAAAATGAGTTCAAACACGCAAAAAAAAAAAAAGTTTCAAACGAGGAGTCAGAAAAATCCTCTACTAATAGAATTTGTATTTCTCAGTTCATTTTTCAGCCTAATTTAAAAAACTTTTTTTTTAAGTATTTGAACACTCGGTTAGGGATCGGTTTAGCAAATAATCCAAGGTGTTAAATGTGAAGTGTTTGTCTTGGGTCCTTGGGGTCCTTATACGGATGAACATGAATTAAAATGAAGTTGTTGAGCAGTCATTATCTGCATGCATTTCTTCATGTATTAAAAATGCTGAGTCATATTCATCTATTTATTATTCACGGGTATCAGATTGGTACTTCCAGGTACTGAGAGTTAAATGAATATATGGCATTAAAAAGTCTCTAATATTATTCAGAACTCAGAGAAGTCCTTCACAGTGGTTTTAAAGCAGCTTCAGAGCCGTGTCATGCCGCTCTCTAAGGCATTTCACATTCCTTCCTCTTTGTGGGCTCTTCCTTCATGAACGTAGGCTCGACATCATCTCAAAATCACCTTCATTAAAAAGTCCAATTAACACCCCGAGAGCCGTGCAAGGTTTCCTTTTGACCACAGAGAGAGAAGGTTAATCAAGATATTGGCTCCTTGTAATGCAAATAAGGGGGATTACACACGATGCAGATCTGAAGGGGGGGGGGGGACTGATACTTGAGATGATGATTAAGACTTGCTGTTTTTTTCCTAACATGGCGTGTGGTAGGGCAGCATGTTCTGCTGGTCACGGGGGTCGGGGGGGTCTGTTCACAGTCAAACCTAATCAAAGTAGATTGCTCGGTGAACCTTGCTGTCCAGCTGCCCCCCTTAGTTCCAAGTACACTACCTCCTCTGAGATCTGCAGGGGGATGGGGTGGGGGACGGGGATCTTTTATTGTTTATTAAGCGTGGTCAAGAAGCAGTAATCCACCCAATCACAAGATAAGGCGGCTTGAACCTCCCCCTAATCACCAGCCAATCCTAACGACTCCAACCCCAAACTGCAGCCGGACTGGACGATTCAAACAGCTCGACAGAAAACGGCTGACCTAAATTCTTCGACTCCGTCAAAGAATTTATAAAAAATCTAAAACGTAAGGAATCATTTTAGGTTCAATTTGTAGAATTAAAAATCTGTCTGAAACAAGTTGAGAGTGTCAGGCCTGAAAAATGATCATATTGTTATGTAGGCATTAAAAGACGACAATGAGCTACAGTTCCCATCTCCCGCTCACACACACACACATTTAAATCCACGCACACACATACATCTGCAGGACTATACAAACATGCATGCATACGGCTGCACAGCTGGCCAATAAGAATCCTGGATCATTTTTAAACATACAGTTTCTCTACAGCAAGGGCCATCTATATGAAAACAGAAAAACATGCATTCATCTATGTACAATATAATTTGTATATTGACCATTCTGCTTTATATCCACACTAACTCATCTTTCTGTGACAAAGTCCATTAAGTAAAATTCATAAAAGTTCTTTTTTTTTTTCCTTCGTATTTGTATTTGATAAAAAGTTAATGTGCTCTGTTGTGATTCCAGTAAAACTCATCTCATCTCTTCCCAGCACCACAGCAGAGCCGGTCTTCATAAGAGGACAAAACTCCCATTGTGTAAATAATGAAGAGCTAAAAGTCAGCCGAGGCAGCCCATCTTCATTTGTTTAAGTCCCACTCCTTTCCTCCCATCCCTCCCCTCGTATCACGCTCCCCTTAGGCTAGACGATGGAGCCGTCCCTGTTCTGCGCCGGGATCATAACGGGGATGCCCCCCATGCGGCTGAGGTTGGGGCCTGCCATCTTGGGTGCAGTGGGCGGGGGCAGAGGTACGTGGCTCGGAGGCCTCTCGTACTCCTCCGATGAGGGGATCTTGTCGTACTGGGGCTTCAGGGCATACTCGTGCAGGTTGGAAGGCGACATGGAGCCCAGGGAGGAGCGCTGGCTGCCGACGGTGAAGCTGCGTGCCGTGGAAACACGACTCTTCGGAGGAGGGACGTCCTCTCTGTGGGGAAACAGAGAAAGAGGAATATTTAGACAAAGACTTCACTCACTTTCATGAGCTTACCTCAACAAGGACTGAACAAAAGAGGAAGGATGTAACCTCGTGGTAAAAAGGGAAGCCAATTCAAGAGCTTCTTAAACCTGTTTTCTTCCTAATAACCATCAGCCAACACGTGGATTACTAAAGAAGTTCACAAACAATAATCCTGTCATTAAAACCCCTGGCCCAGGAACTTTACCATACAACAGTCAAAGTATTTGTTAGAAAACAATATGAAGACAATAATACCCGATAAAAACGTATCTATTCTACACTACATCTTTTTATGTTAGCATTGATCAGCAGATAAATACTAACAGAACCCGCGCTACAATCCATGACAGAGTGCTCTCATTTCCACGAGCGGGCTCACTAGGATTGTACAGTGTTGGCGGCCGCTGCCTTTCAACTATGACACAGACTTGTGTGAGGGCACCTATGAAATGTTGCCGCTGTAGCAGAAGTTAACGAGATGATTTTACAAGAATGACTCACAAAACACTAGTATCATATGAAAATCATGTGAAATAATATAAATCATGTTTCTGTGTTTAGGCAGGATATTAATCAGGGGTATCAGCTGGCCTGGGGTTTTTCAAGCGAGTCAGTTATAATATTAGGCACTGGACATTTTGGGGAAATAAACGTGGACAGAGACTTTCTCAGGTGCTTTAAACCATGATAAAGTTGGATGACACTCTGGTAGAAAAGACTGCAGTGTAGAGCACTTGCTGCACACTGAGGAAAACAATGAATACAGAAGGAGTCTGCAAGAGTCATTTCAAGAGCGAAACATGATTGGACTCAATAAAGAGGCATAGATAATTGGAATCGGCCCGTTTGATTGGACAGGGCTGCACCACACAGACTGTGTAATAGCCTGTAGCAATTGCAACCAAACACAGTTATGCCCTCCTCTCCCTCTGCCACCACATTATCAACTAATAAGCAGCAATAATCCAGTTAAATGCTCAATCAAAGAGAGCCCGAGGGGCCAGCAGCTTGTTTAGTCCACAGCTTCGTAGTGTTCTTTTTTTTGTGTGTTTCACAGAATGAGTGTGTCTGTGTGTACGAGACAGCACCAGTGGTCTAATCCTCTTTGTCCTACAGCGAGAGCAGTGTCACATTGTGGTGTCAGACAGATTCAGCCCACAGCAGAGTGATAGTAAGCCCGCTGGTTGTACAGAGCTCGCAGGGCCGGATGGAGTGCTGGGGGGTTAGATGGTGGTGGAGGTGGGATGGGGGGGGCAGCCAGCAAGCAGACATGTCGGGATCCACAGAGCAAACAAAGCTTTCAAACTGATTACCACAGCTGTTTATTTGAGGAGCGGTGAAAAAAGAGAAACGCTGATGGAGAAAAAAACATTTTCATGGCTGTTGAAGCTTTTGGAGATGTGTTTTTGTGTGTGCATACGTGTGTGTGTGTGTCTGAGATGACCACAGGCTATTCTACGTGTGCAGCTTTAGAGTATTTATTGCTCAACAGTGTAAGAATGTTTTATTGTCACATACAATCCAGTTTTAAAAATCTGAGACACATTTCTCACCACAGAGCGAAGAGTCTAAATATTCCTCCATCAAAGAAAGCTTTTCTTTATCTGTGAGCAGAGTCTCATTGATGTTTTTAGAGAGCGTACCTGATCTCATTGCAGATCTCCTTCTCATACTTCTTCCTGTGACGGGCGCGGCAGCAGCAGAAGAGGATGATAGCAATAATGAGGAGGATCAGGAGAACTGCAATTATGGCTCCTGCGATGATGCCGCCAGTGTTGGGAGCTGGACAAAACAGGGAGGGACAGATTTGGTAAATGTTAGTGTGGATACATTACAAAGACTTATGGAGAAAAGGGGGATGCTTGGACCCTGATATCTGGTTGTTTGTGAAGCAACAAATGAGAAAACATTACCATCTAGTACGTTTGTCAGTTTATTACACTGAGAGAAATTGAACACATATTTAATCCTTTGATGATCTTCTGCAATGCTCACATTCCTCTATCCTAATCCCAAATGTCCTGATTTTTTTTTGTTTGTTTTTGTTTGCTTTTGGTTTTTACGAGTCTCATTTATCGGTTTTGTTTAATTAAACTTGTAGAAAATGTAGAAAATATGCAAATGGTTTGGATTTATAATTCCCTGAAGGGGTAATGAAAGAGCATTGCAAAGTATAACGCGAGGGAGAAAATAAAAAAAGTTAACATTTTAAGTTCTTTATCTGAGGTTTTGATGCACCAACAGAACAAACGATGTGATGTAAAGTTTATTATCTGCTGAATACACTGGTCCAAAAAGAAACAAAGTGGATTTTGGACTATGTTTGGCCCTTTGTTATGAGTTTTGAGCAGAAGTTGGATCAAAGAGGAGTGTCAAAGAGTCAGGGCAAGCTCGAGCACTTCTCTGACACATTCTGCAGATTACAGGGACGCTAACAAGATAGTGGTCCTGAGTGTATTAAATCCAAACTCAGTAACAAGACCAAACAATGACAGGCGTAGCCAAAGTTACTAAAAAACACACTGAAGTGTCAATGTTCTTTTATTAAAGCGTTTTCATGCTGCAGCACTCGGCTCCAGCTGCCCCATGCTGCTGTGCTCCGAGATGACAGTGCGGTGACAGCGTGCTACTGAAGCTTCCAGCTTCACAGCTTCGGCTCATTTGTTGTTCAGGAAATATCCAAGATAACCGAGTTTGAGCTCTACATGTGCTGGAACTGATAGATCTAACACCTTTACATATACAGGAAAAGTATGTTTTTGCATTTATAAGTGATTTTTTTCACAAATGAACAATAACCTAGTGATCCCAACAATCACAACTCTGACTTATAGAAGTTCAGAAGGTCAAAATGGTGCTTGTTTAGCTTTTGGTTATGCACAGCTACTGAATTAGCACATATGGAGATTTGGATATATGCATCAGGCATGGCTTCATGGACGACAGAGATGGTCAGTCAACATAACATCTATAATGCATTTGATGGTTACAGTTTGTAAAAACAGGTTTGCATGGTATCTTTAGTTTCCATGAACTCTGCCACATATATTTAATATCCCTCTCAGGATGAATTGTAACATTACTCCAGTGATCTATTAAACCTCATGGTGTTAACTTAGTCACCATGTGCATGAAAAGCCTCACAAGCTTCCAGCACGACTATGTCTTGTCCTCAATATTTCCTATTTTTTATTGTTATAAATATGATTATGTTAGTAAATTGGAAATATAACTTTACTCTTAAATTGATTACAAATCCAGCAGAGCAACAGGTCTAAACAATCGACTGTATAAATAAATGTATAACATAGTACACATTTGGAGGTCGCCTGACTGACTTGGCTGCAGAAACTACAAAATCTAAATGCATGTTAAATAATTTTTCCCCAAACATGATTTCTAAATGGGCTATTTACTGTATGTCTGAGTGTTTATTTTTCGCAGATGTTTAGTTTTAGTGTATATTGATGCTATAAAAACACATAAAACACCATGATTGACAGCTCTGTTGACAAATGTTGATCCTGCTGTGCTGTGTGCACCAGAGTAGAAGAGGAACAGCATGAGGAAACATGACAAACATCAAACTTCCCATAAGCGAGTGTCAACACAAGAATCAGTTCTGCTGTGGATTTTATGGATCTGACGGATTTTTGCAGTCCATGGTTAGTTCGCTGTGTGTTCTGATTAGCTTCATATACGCCATTGAACGTCTACTTTACATCCAGTCAATGGTCTGAATATATACCTGGCCAAAAACAGTAATTTATAGGTGTTTAGGTACTCACGAGGCGTTACGTTCAGATGCAGTATACAGTCCTCAGTGCCGACGCGGTTAGCGACGGTGCAGCGGTAGGTACCAGATGCGCTGGCAGATGCGTTCCTCACGTTCACTGTTCCTCCAACAGGATCTGAAGTGAGAGAGGAGACAGTGTTAAACATAAAGATGAGACTTATGTAGGCCCAAATGCTTTGGGAGTGCTTGTGAAAGGGTGCATTACCCAACACAGCGGTGGCAGGAAGCAGCTTGTTGGGACTGGTCTTCTCCCAGCTGTACTGCAGCGGGTTGGTGCCCTCGTTGGATGTGCACCTCAGAACGACGTCTTTGCCTTCCTGTGTTGGGCCTTCAGCGTAGCACCTGGGCTTGGAAGGCTTCACTGTGGAGAGAAGAAGGAAGATTGGTTAATTGACGTCTTCACTTCAAATGTATAGGTGTAAGGATTAATCTTACAATTGATTGCGAGAAGTACAGAACAGAACAGAACAGCAAACATAACGAGGCGGCTGCATTAGCTCAGAACAGTAGACTCATCCTGCTGTTATTTTTCAATAATTTATCACCACAGACAATCTCATTCTTTCATGTTGTGGACAAGTTTGTGTGTTTTCTGTATTCCCTGAAGTTGATTTCCCTCTCTTGCTCAAAGCAGCAGTCATCAGCATAATGAGAGCAGTAATCAGAGTAATTGATACAGCTGCTGTCATTACAGGAGCTGTCACTCAGGATAATTGTGAGGGAAGATGTGTGCAGTGTGCTTATTGGACAGACAAACACACACGCATGCACACACGTGCACGTTCAGGGTTAAGGAAGGAGGCAAAAACTCAATCTTAAAGCCGAGCGTGTGCAAACACTCCTCGGTCAGTCAGAGTGTTGGCAGGAGATGAGATGGGGAGATGGGGAGATGGGGAGGTGGGGAGGTGAGGGTGGGTTCAAAAACAAACAGAGCTTCAAATTAAAAACAGACTGCGACCAGTGAAACCCAGACATGCTCAAGAGAGGAGGAAAAGGAGGGAGAAAGAAAAGAGTAAAGAGACTAGTGGGGGGATTTTTGAATAGACAAAAATCTAAGTGTGTGCTTAGAGATCCCTGGCAGAAAGCTGACATCATGATGTGGTAATAATGGGCTCTGTAACAACAAAAACTCTGGAGTGGCGCTCTGCAGATCTAAACCAGGTGTCAGACTGGAGGCGGGGGATTTGGGATTAACAGTAGACGGACAGGACTGAGTGCTGCTGCTAATCTAATAAACACACACAGGATCAGGATGGTGGGGGCAGCACAGAGAGCGGAAGGGCAAAAATTAAGCGAGCGCTGATGGACAGATGGTGGAGAGATGGGGGCCAAGGCTGTGCAGCTCCTAACTCAGTTTGCGCTCCATGTTACACCTACACATGCCACACAGTAAATGTTAGCGAGCTATGACATTTTGAAGACATCTTTTAAAAGGTGAAAGTCAACCTGACGCTGTTACACACAGCTGGTCATAACAGGACTGATGCCAGATGAGCAGATTTATTTGTTTGAGAGATGAGGTCAAAGAGGAAGGTGACGGAGGCTGGAGGAGCACAGAGCGATAAAGGGCAGAGCGATGCAGCCGACCTGGATCTGTTAAACGAACAATGAAATCTGATTTATGAGTTGCACAAGGCTGTCTTGTGGAAGAGATAAGCAGAGAGGGATTGCTATATTGCAGGATTCATTTCGGTCATGAGGCCAAAACTTCAAAGAGTGACGACTGATTGTTGAACGGTGAAGTAAAATATCCATCACTGGCCGCATTAAAGCCAGGCGGACAGGATAAAAGAGATTTCTGCTGAGCTTTGCAGAGAGAGCTTGAACAGGATGAGGTCTCAGGCAGGGGCAGAGCTAACTGATTGTCTGTTGAGTAATTATGGAAAGGTATAACTGAGAAACTAAAAATGGCTCTAAAAAGTTTTAAATTACCAGCCAATTGGTTATAGTATTCATGAGGCTATCTTTATAACGATTCCTAGGTACCTTAATTCTTTTGTGTCTGCTCTAAAAGGAGAGAGTGCCTGGGGAAGATTTTTAAAGGAGGTAATTTAGAGGAACATATTCAGGTTTCTGGGGGTTAAGTTTTACCAGCAGGTTTTCTTAATTCCTCAGGACTGTTATATTACGAGGCTGATAATGTCGGATTAGAGATATAAAGCAGAAAGTCGTCTGCATACAGGGAGCACTTTGAGACACAGCCTCAAATACAGTCATACTTAAAGCGTCACAGAATCGTTCCACTACAGGTTAAATGGTGAGAGATATAATGGGGACAGAGGACATCCTCAAAGGTTGCTGCAGAAAAGCATGACTAGGCTATGTTTTCATCATGACATTTCATTAATCTCCAAAAATATAAAATTTAATAATGTCGCTATCAAATGAACTTTGCAGAATTTATTTTTGGGGCGATCCCCAGCTCAATGTCCGATGTGTCCTTGAGCAAAACACTGCTTAGTTAGCGGTGTATGAATGGGATTAGTTACTTCTGGTCACTTTACACAGCAGACTCTACCATCAGTGTGTGAATGGGTGGGTGTGACATGCGGTGTAAAAACACTTTGAGTAGTCAGAAGACTAGAAAAGCTAAAGTCCATTTAACATTTTCTATTTTTATCATCATTACCAGCATCACTACTGTTGCCTCAATGAACATCACATTATTTATTTCATATCTTTGTTTATGCAGCATAATCCTTCTAGATGAGACTTTTTTGGCATTTAAATGTCACAAAACCCAAAACCAATGAAGTCCTTGAGGTAACCCAGATGTCCCGCAGCAGACATGTTTTTAGGGTTATTTTGGGGCCTTTTTGCCTTTATTGACAGGACAGCTGAAGAGAGACAGGAAATGTTGGAGGAGAGAATGGGGCATGACATACGGCAAAGGGCCAATTCAAACCCACGGCTGCTGCCATGAGGACTATAGCCTCTTTACACATGGTGTGCAACATAACTGTTAGGCTATCGGCGCCCTGCATTCCTGGTTTTTAGTCATATTTGCTGTTGCTGCAACCTTCAGATAGATTTTTTCTAACACAAAAACTGGAAATTTGTCGCAAGATCAAACAGTTAGCGAGACTTTATTTTTTAGTAATTTACTGATAATTACTAAAAAGGTTCTTAATAAAACATTAAGCCTTTTGATAGTAGTACAGATGGGCTCTATTCAGGAACAGTTGTGAGAGTTGCTGACGTACAGAGCGTAACTGCTAGTAGATACTCTCCTTCTGTTAACTTCAATGTCCTGAAGCAACAAGAGGAGAATACACAACAAAAGATGCAACGGCACAACACGTGCACTGCAGGGGTCAGTAAGTGTGTGTGTACCTGCATGAGGCAGTGTTTGTGACAAGCCTAAGCAATACCCATGTGTATAATTTCAGGTGTGTTTATGCCTGTGCACACACATGCATGCACGTCTCTCCGTGTTCGGGAGACCATCCTCCTTGTGACAAGATCAACCTGAAGGTAAAATGCAGAGCAGGCAACATGTCCTTGCCTCTCCTTGTCAACGTTTCCTTGCTAAGAACACCTCTGCCCTTGGGGTCAATAGCTAGCAGTCTTTCATCTCTCGTAGCCTCCAGCTATCATCTCACACACACACACACTATCCATACTGTAGCCAAATACATCTGCATACATTGTAGACACTGAGCTGGTGTAGACATCTAGAGGAGGATACAATCAATACTCAACAAGAAATCTAAATAACTTGACTTCAGATTCTATCTTGACTTCAAATTTAGAACAAGAGTAACAAAACCCCGCAATGGTTATATTTGAGACGTACATCTTCAGATAGATATTTCTTGGGGAGAGGGATACATACTTTGCCTGAATTTGAACAACGAAATACAAATGTGCGAGCAATGGCATTACACTATTAACTGGTATCTGCATCACATCAGATTTAGGGGTTGGGCAAAATATTGAGATGTTAATATGACACGTGATCGAATCAATGAAACGATCATGCCAAGTATAATTTTTTAGATTTTAAAAATATCACTCAACACATTTCTCTGCCTATTTGACTCAGCGTATCACTACTTTATTATTCAATATGGTGCCACTTATTTGACAGTGAGATAAAAGAAGAGAAAACAGTGGGATAATGTCAGGCAGTGGGGAATTATGTTAAAGGGGGAATTGTCATTAGCGGTGAAACTGAAACTAAACTCTAAATTTACCTTTTATACCTTTTATATTATTTAATTAATCAGATTGTAATGTGTCATGATACAAATGTCTTGCAATATATCAACTATTGCAGAAACATTGTATTGTGATTATTGTAATAGTGGGCCAGGTATTTACCATTGTATCATGACTTTACCTGTGATCACCGACTTGGCAATGAAAGTTAAGTTAGAGTAACAACAGCCCTATCGGATCCTGCATATAATTGTGTATATTAAAAAGCAGGAAGTTAGGGAGGTACTTGTTGTGGATATTGATTGTCGTTTACAGTAACCAACAGCCCTGAGTGGGAGAGCATTCAAACACAAACACAGTGACGAGCCATTACATCTTACTGATGAGCGCAACAGGTGCATGGAGGGAAATGATTCAAGAATTATTTTGTTTTCTGGAAATCACAAACTCTAAATTATCATAAAGAAAATCAAGAAAATCTGTTTTATTTCATTTTGTAAGACATATTTTTTTCGACATTTGTGATGGGAAAAACAAAAAGACATTTGAGTGGATTTCATGGGAACTTTAGAAGCTTGAAAACAACTGATACATCAGCAGGTTTGCCAACTTTCTCACAGTGAGGAATGTGGAGCTACTGCCAGGAGGTAGAGCTGAAACTGTTTATGTTCAAGCACATGTTTCAGTGACGGGATTCACTGTTTCCTGTTGCTTCTGCACGGATCAATTTGTATGTAAAATAGCCTCCCACAGGATCTATTAGAGGTTCTTAGGTCAGCTGTAGCCACAGTTAATGATAAGAGTTTCTGTATCTATGTATCTTTTTTTTTTTAATCAGAGCTGCTTCATGGTTCATGACACACATACTGTGAAACTTGTTTGTTTTCCTTTTATGCACCATGTGTTTCTGGTTGAGCTGGTCGGTGCACTTCAGCCGCTTCTACACACATGATATCATGTCAACAAGCACAGCAGCCATTTTCTGAAGGCTGCCCTATCTTTAGAAAAAGAGATAAGAGCGTTGCGATAACAGCCTAATATGCAGCTTATCCCACAGCACAGACTGGTACAGCACACGTGGGTTGTTTTATCCCATATGCAAATACCAGCCGGGTTTCGGGAGGCGATTCACTCTCGACAGCATTTAGTCAGTTGACCGATCAGTGAGGCCACTGTGTGTGTGTGTGTGTGTGAGAGAGACAGAGAGAGAGAGAGAGAGAGAGAGAGAGAGAGAGAGAGAGAGAGAGAGAGAGAGAGAGAGAGACAGAGAGAGAGAGAGAGAGAGAGACAGAGAGACAGAGAGAGACAGAGAGAGAGAGAGAGAGAGAGAGAGAGACAGAGAGAGAGAGAGAGAGAGACAGAGAGAGAGAGAGAGAGAATGTGTTTGTGTGTGTTTGCCTAGGGAGTAATTCATGTGAATTTTACATGACGTGTCACCCATCTCACCCCATGCAATAAAAAAAACAGCTGAGTGTATCAACTCCATATCTGAGGTCTTACTTTCATTTTATAAAGACAGGATGACATTGTGCACACCGACACAGATTCATATCATTTATTTAATCATCTTTGGCTGTACTTTCTAAGATGCTTATTAATACAACAGAAGAATTATGATTGAGAATTCTGAAGTTTTCACAGAGGTCATTATTGATATTTTTATTGGTAAATGTATTTGCTTACATGCATAACCTTTTTCAAAACAATCTAAAGTCAAATCAATCAAATAAAACCTTATATGGATAAAGTCTCAATTAGTAGGTCTTAGAAAAACTTAGACTCTAATCTTTTGCATTATTACAACACGTTTGTTTATGACCTCGTAATGCACATGGTGGCAACGGGGAGCTGCAGGAGACACGTCTTTGCATAATCCGGTTAAAACTGAGCTAAATCAAACAATCCCTCAAATGCAGTTATCAAAGACTTGAGGAAAAGATAAACAATAAAGCGTATAAAAGATGGTTAATCAACTGGAAAGAAACTTTGCATGTGCGTGCGTCACTGCTTGACACTATGGAGAGGGATAATGCTTGTACTGCATACTCTGCTAGGGAAAAAGTAATGCTATTGTAAAACAGCAAGACTCAAATTAAATGCTATATGACTGGTGAATAAATCTGGTAGTATCTGCGCAAATCTGCAATAAAACAAGTGGATACCAATAGTGACTGGATATGCTAATATTGGTCGGGCTCTAGCCTAATCTACCTTTAAAATAATCATAATAAGTGTTTAGAAATATAACATTAAAGGGCTGATCATTGTTTGTTTATTTAGGACAAAACATTAATGCTTTTAATATACAACATGGTTTATTAACCTATAAACCTTTTGTCTGATTGTAGTTATTAGAGAGATATGAATCATTTAAGTATTCAAAGAAAGGACACCACAATGAGTAAATTCCCATGTAGGCCCGATCAGATGGCGTCTTATTGCAGATTTCTACGGGTTAAAAATGGAAGCTGTAATTTAAAAAAAAAAAAAGAGCATTAAAAAAATGT